TTTTTTGTCTTTTTGTCTTTTACATACCAGACGATGGGTGAAGTCCAAAATAAGCCAAAAGAAGTACAGTATAAACCATCGTCAGAATCCTTTCAAGTCTATCTAAATAAGTTAATAATTCATTATTTAATACACTTGAGCTACATGTGAAATTTAAAACATTATTTTGATGGTTGTACAGATTACTGGTGATATAAATACACGTGGAATCATGAGATACTTGTGCAGACCAGGAGAAATACACTGTATTAAATAACCATTTTTGAATGTTCAAATTAAAATCAATATACTGTATTTTTACTTACAGCTTAAAGGAAGAATTGATGATTGTAGTTGCAATGTGGATACAGTGGACCATTTCAACAACATTAAAATTTACCCAGTACTAAGCAGCTTGCTCAACAAAGACTATTTCAGATTTTACAGGGTATGACCTACATATTGTATTTTACAATGTTTTGGAATAGGAGCCTTGTTACTAGTGAATCCTGATAACATATACTTTAAATTATATACTACAGACTGAATGACTGAGGTTCAGTTCTTGGCATGGGTGATTTTAGTTTTTCACCTCACTTTTCCTGTGTCATATAAACCAGACGTTTTGAAAGTGTCCCTTGGAATGAAGATAACTATAGCATGGCGCTGATGTGGAGCTTTTAATAAAATGAATTTTGACTAGCTTCTGTTGAGAAAATCATGCCTTGTACTAGTTGAATAAGAAATTGGTGCTTTCTAGGGACTTTGTGAGAGATTACACCACAGTTATTTTGCGTGTTGCCCATCATCTGATGCATATTTACTATACACAATCTTTTGGAAGTTGGCTTTGCTTATGTCTTTAGGTGACTAGTTAGTATACTGAACAGTATTGAATACTGAACTTGTATTGTTTACATTCTGTGCATATTGAATACACTTAATTCATTGTAAGGTATCCAGTATAACTACGATGTAATGAATAAACCAATGCAAAAGAAACTTTGTAGATCACTTTCTTGACATGTTATTGGCGGGATAATTTTTATAGATGTGTTGATTGATATATGCAAGCTGTGGTTAGTTACTAGTGCGACAGGTGCTTCAATGGACACAGACATGAAATCCCCAAGCCTATTTTTCCTTGTAAATTAATGAAATATATATACATATATAAAGTAGAATTGTCAAGTAATTTGAAGCATTTAACTCCTAATTTTGGCTACTATATAACAGTATTTCTAACTTCATAAGTTTTTTTTTTTTTCTAAAAAATATTATTCTACAATGGAAGTCAACCCCATACCAGATGGCTATGGAAACTCCTTCTGGCCATTTTGTATATTTTTACAGCTGATGTAAGAAACACTTTTTCTGAGAGTAGGGTCAAGTAAAGAGTGATTTGGGCATTTAGCTTTCCTACTTCTCATCTCATCCTATAGCAGTCTAAATTGAGCTGAAGAATTACTGAAAGTGATGAAGTTGTAACTTCATGACTGCCCCCCATAGCTTTATCCCATCATTTCAATTTAATGTACATCAGTACTGTTCACCATTCACCATTCACCATTGTTACATCCTGAGCACCAGTTCCATTTCAGTTCATTCATGTCTGTAGAATAATTATCTGAACATTTGAAATCAACACATTACCTATTTTTTCTTCATTATATGTTTCTAGGTAAATCTGAAGCAAAAATGCCCATTCTGGGCAGATGACAGCCGGTGTGCCATGCGCTACTGTCACGTTGAACCATGCCTGGATGTAAGTTGAAATTCAGTTTGGATCTCACAAAGGAATTGGCTGTTTTCTAACAGGCATATAAAAACGAAAATACCGTGAATATTTTTTGAACAGCCATCATATTTTCATAAATTAGGCATAAGTGCAGTTCCAGACATAGCTCATAAATCTTGGATTTGTTCTATAATGTAGGTTATATAAAGAATTCAGTTCTTATGTATATGCTATTCTGGATCTAGTACAGATGTTACCATGTTTATAAGAAGCCTGAAATTATATTTCTAATACTAAATGTTATGGCTGAATGATTGGCATTCATGCTTTGTATTTGCGAAGTCCAGGGTTCAGATGTCAACCTGGAGACCAACTTTTTGTGTCTGATGTTTTTAATGGTTTTCAATAGTCCTGCCAGGTAAATGACAGAATAGTATCTCATGTCATAACAACTTCCTTCCACTTCCCTTTTAGTCATTGTCTGCTGATTGTTCTATCATTTGGTGCTATATAGCCCACTTTACTGACAGCACTATCGAAGAACCAACACACACATAAATATATTTCTACTAATAATTTGAAAATGGCATTGTTTTTAATTTTTAGGCAGACATTCCTGAAGGTTTGAAGGGTCACCAGCCAAAGAATGCAGTAATAGAGGAGCCATCAGCATTCAAGGTAATTTTCCGTTATGTGCAGACGAGGCAGAACTTTTTTCCTCCATATTTTGGAAGTTCCAATTCTGTATTTTGAGAGTTACAGTTTTGGCAGTGTTTTTGCTCAAAATAAATATGGAAACTTGTTCAAGACCACAGGATGCTCTTGTGCTTTTACTTATCACTCAGTTTGGCTCCGATCTGAACACTCTGGAATTTTTCCATAAGAATAGCCTGTTTTCAGATTTAAATAATAGGTTATAGAACAGCAGAAAACAGTCATTAATTAGAACCATATGATTATGTTAATTTTTACAGTGGAAAACACTTGATACATGTCTACAGAACAACACAGCATCAAATCTAAGAAGACCATAATCTTAACATTCACTGCTATGAAGGCCTGCAGTGCATACAGATGGCACAGTTTTTCATTAAATAAAATTTCCCATAAGAACACTTTGATTGAATGATTCTTAGGTTATTTTATGATGCTGTTTAAACTGCATGGATTCCAATCTTTTATAGCAGCAAACCACTGTCATTTTTATCTTGGATGCAATAGAGGCAAGATGCTGTCTAATGTATCCTCCCCCACTGCAGTACAGATCATTGGATATTATTTGAGGATCTACGATCAAGACATTTTATTTAGTTAGTTGCTTAGTCTGATGTGGTTCATCCCCAACCCTCTCTCTTTCACCATTCACTAACACCCTACCGTCCATCTTCACCTTTATATTGTTTTTACAGAATTTGAGCCACCTCTTTCAAATTTCGGTGACATGAATAAGAAAACACCTTCTTTACTCCTGAGTACTTCAAATTGTAGGACAGAGGTGAAGCTCAAATTAAGGAATGTATTTATGATGACATAACACCTTGTTGAGCTTGTCACATATCACAGATGGCATGACGATGTGCAATGTAAAACAGAATTACTTGCACCACTACTGCTCTCTTCCTGCCTTCTTTCTTTTCCCTCCTGACAAGTCCTACTCTGGGACTTCATGCTCACAGACTGGTGTGGATCTCTAAGCTGCCTGGGAAGGTTTTATTGTTATGGTCAGGGCACAACCTCCTATTCCTGTTTAATGAGTCAATTTGCAATTCAGTAGTCGAAAGTGTAGTGGGTCACTTTCTTGTTTCCATTCATATCATTAATTGCACAATACACTGCATTGTGTACCTTGAACAGTCATGATGATAAGTGACCTGAATACATGATGTCGGTGCTGTGTGTTGACCTATCAGTGCAGTCAGCCTCTGCATTGAATAATGCATGAAAGCTACTGATTTAACATTGAGCTTAATTGTATGTATGGTGCAGTATGAATACTGTGACTTCCCTAAAGAGAATTCTCTGTATAAAATAAATTCTCATGGATAGATGGGTGGATTAACAGTGTGATAAGTGGGCAGACGAGTGGACAGATGACCAGATTAGTAGATAGAAGGGGTGTCAGAAATAGAGGAAAGGAAAAGGAGACAGTTGCTTCCCACCCCCTTCATCAGTTTTGTTTATGTACATAGAAATTTGGGAGATTAACACCTCTTCCCCATATTGTAATATGTACTTGAAATGCTTGTTATGAATAGGTATACAGATGAAAGAAGGGTGGGGTAATCAACCAGCTTCTGTAGTGGGGATCTGTGGAAGAGAACAGTGGTACTGTATTAGAGGGCGTACAATGGTGTATGCTGTATGAATGAGTTGGATACACCCAACCTTTTAGAACAGGTACTGTATAACTAGCCTTATGAAAAATTTATAGATGTTTGGAAAAACAGGTAATTCTTTTTTTTTTATGTTATTTAGAGGAATTCACATAAAATTGTTATATTTGTTTTTGTTCAATCAATGTGATTGAAAGTAAAATATTATATTTATCGTTTTTTAATTTTGTGTACACATCACTAAAATATAATTGAAATAAACTTTTTGAGGAAATTCAAAGTAAGCTAATATTTTTCTTATGGTATCATAACATTACAGTTATACTGTTTGCTCTTAAAAACTGGGTAATGTCCCTCCATGAAAGCCTTACCTTCTTATTTGGTGTACCCTCTGCTTTTTTCATGACTGCAGTGCAAGCGAGCATTATTACAGGTGGGATGACAGGTTCCAGGATTTGTGGAGTGGATTTGGCGGAAGAAAGTTGTGGGAATGTTTATTTAATTTGATGATGCTGTGATTATGTTGCAGTACTCCAAAGAAGCCCAGGCGGCGGAATGTGATCATGACCATGAACTGGGCTATCTCAACACAACAATCAGGCAAGTTTCATTGTTATTCACATTATGGGTTTCCTCATTGTGAAGTGAATTTTCAAGGTATGAAACACTACAGTAGAAATTATGTAGTATTTCACATTTTAGTCAATCATAACAAAGTTTCTGAATAAAAATTTAAATGTTTTTGCATTTTGCTTGGGCACTTGAAGTTGGTACAGATATAACATGCCCACTGCCATACCTCCTTACAGGGGTGTTACCTGCTGGGCTAGCAGTTTTTCCATGAAAACAGAATTTTGAACTTAACTACATTTGAAATGGGGTGGGGGAAATAACAAGTGAGGGACAATTGATAATACCTGTGCGTTTTGACTCTTTCATGCTTTAGCAAGTGACAGAGTGTCTGTGAGGCCGTGCCATAGCTCGGGCGGTTAGTCACTGGCTTACACTGCGGCGGCCCGGTTTCAATCCTGGGTCTGGTCAAGTGGGATTTGTGGTGGACAAAGTGGCGCAGGGGTGGGTTTTCTCCGAGTACTTCAGTTTCCCCTGCCAATCTTCATTCCACCAAATTCTCCATCATCATAATCACCTGGGGCAGGCTACAATAGGCCAATCAGTGGCTGCTGTGCCAAGTGGACCCAGTTGGACTCCACCCCCCAATAAGCGAATTACAGTGTGTCTGTGTTTGATGACGTCTAGAAGAGAAAATGACATTTATGTACATAGTTGCAACAACCTTTTACTTGACAGCATTGGCATGGCATGTGGTAAACTTCATATCATGAGTGAACGCAGTTGTTAGGGATATGTAAATACATATATTTTATACAATCTATATACAAAATAATGATGAGCAGTGCTGCTGTCATGTGTTATAAGAAAAATATTTAAAAGTACCATAGAAACCACCAACTTCATGTTTTTTCACTACATTCTTGAGCAGTAAATATTTGCATGTACATTTTCTGGTGTGTAATTTACAGTGCTGCGGCGTATGAAGAGTTTGCTCGTTGGAAGGCTTATGATGATGCTCAGGATAATTTTTGTGTCATGAACGAAGAAGATAAAGGTGCTGAATATGTGGATCTTTTGCTGAACCCTGAGAGATATACTGGATATAAGGGCAGATCTGCTCACAGGATATGGAACAGTATATATCTGGAAAATTGTTTTAGGTAATGTGATTTAATGAAATACGCCAAAGAATGGGACACCTTTATTAAACTGTTTCTTTATCAAGGATGTCTTTATACATTTCCAATCAACAGATATGAGTAATGATATGTCATGATCACTTAACAAGGTATTTTCTTTGTACCTGAGGTTTGTTCATTTCATTTAATACATTTTCCTTCAATATCTGTTTAAGGCCGAAGGACATTCTCAGTTCATATATTCAGTCTTCAAGTATAAATGGTAAGTGAATACCACCTTAAAAATATACTTTGTTTACAAATATTAAATAATGTTGAGCAGTGTTGGATTTGAGTTTCTCACAGCTTTGCCTGAGAAGATTTAGTGTGATCCTCTGAAATGTTGGTAAACTTCTGAATTTCATGGTATTACAGCCCTGAAAATCGTGCTCTTTGATACTGAACAAATTAACATTTTTAATTGTCTAAAATGCACCTTGTCTTATGAAGGAAAGCGAAATCTGAAAATACAGGCAATTGAATGAAAGTCCTTTGTATTATGAACACAAGATTTAAACTGTCATTAGTGTCAGGCCATGTAGGAATTTATATTAACAAACTGCATGTTAAACCATCAAACAATGGGCTGCATGTGGCTGGAGGGATGTAAGTTGTCCATGCATGTCTTGAGGAAATGACTGACCTTGTACAAAAACCCTCAGTAAAATGAAGAAACTTTTTTTACTTTATGCTGAGGATCCAGTTTCATAGAACTTTATAAGGCTAGGTTTGTAACTAAATTGAAATGGTTCCTTGAAAGGAGACATTTCATTACACATTTTTATGAAAAATCTCTTGGTACTACACAGTGAACATGAATACATTGAAGGTCTAAATGTTTCTCTTTAGTACATTTGTAAAAGTGCTAATGATTATGTTCTCCTGTTAATAATATTGTATTTTAGCATCCTGTTGCACTGATTCTTGTCCATGATATGTATGTATTGACCGTCTTCTAGTGCACGCAGTCTCACATGTCACTTCACTACCTGTTTCGGCATCACTGTGGCATCCTCAGGTGTGTTATTTACGTTAAGCTATTGCACTGATTACAACGCATGCAGCCAAAGAAGAAGGACACATCACAAGACAGAGTATACACAAAATATAGGAAGAATGACTCCCATAGTGGAAGAATAATATAATATGCGAGTTTGAAATAAGACGTATATAATAATAAATCTTTAAGAAATTTTAATATATATAAATTTTATTATAGTACATGAAGAATATACATTTTAAATCATTTTATAAACGACACATGGTGGCAAGCAGTGCAATAGTTTAACGTAAATAACACACCTGAGGATGGCACAGTGATGCCGAAACATGTAGTGAAGTGACATGTGAGATTGTGTGCACTAGAAGACGGCCAATACATACATATCATGGATGATTATAATCATAATGAGAACATAATTATGTTCTCATCTTGGTTGAGGCCATGGTATATGTTGCAGCATAGTATTAAGTTATATTGCCTTCATGACTTGTTGACAGGTATGTGTTTGGAGAAGAGGGTGTTTTATCGTGCCATCTCTGGGCTCCATTCAAGTATTAACATACATCTGTGTTCTAAGTATCTTTTATCAGGTATGTGAAATTACACTAGCACAGCTGTTTCTACATGAATGATTGTTCAACACTTGCAGTTTGAACCAGGCACATGTTATTTGTTCTAGACGAGGATGTTGTAATAAACTGTTGTTTGGATGGATCATACTGAAAGAGAACAGCCTTGTATTTTTAAGCCTACTTTGTTATCTGTAAGGAAATGCTGGCTTATGGTATCATAATGTGTATGTGTTCAGGGCTGGCACAACAGCACCTCTGAACCAGGCAGCCATCTGGGGCAACACAATTTTAAGAGTGATGATGACTCTGTAGGGGTTGAAACATATGGAGTTATTGAAAAGAAAATATTAAATGGGTAATTATAGTAATTGGATAGTAATGTGCCAGATATAGTCTAATATTATTACATTGTTAATGAGGCATGTCAGAAAGCTGTATTTCTTAATTGTTTAGAAAAGAATACTTTCATACTGGATCCACCAGGCGGGCAGTGGGGACAGAATTTGGAGGAATTTCAGCGTCGCTTTGATCCCGAGAAAACCAATGGTGAGGGGCCTCAGTGGCTCAGAAATCTGTACTTCTTATACTTGTTGGAGCTGCGAGCACTAGCTAAGGCAGCACCATACCTTGAACATGAAGAATACTACACAGGCAATAAGGAAGAAGATAAGGAAGTGAAACTTGGCATTCATGACTTTCTGAAGGTTGTTCGGTAAGATATGTTATTGTTCTTGCAAAGAAAAAAATGCTTTAATGGGTAATTCATCAAGCTGTAGATGTAGTGTAAAGGGAAACTCATGATATTATTGCCCAGAAAAGTTTAGTTTAATGGTACAATTTTTTCGGGACCAAATCAAATAACATTAAATTCATGTAGAGTTTTAGCTGGAAAGCCTAAAGGAAATGATCATTTGGGAGACCTGAGCAATGATGGGAGAATAATGTTAAAGTGGATCTTAGAGCAGTAGGATATGGAACTGTATTTATCTATGAGGGTAATTCCAAAAGTAAGGTCTCCTATGTTTGAAAGTATAAAATAAACATTTATTTTCAATTTTGGATACATCAGTTGAATCTTGAACATGTACTCATTTCTCTACATAATCGCCATTTCGGTCGATGCATTTTTGTAGGCGCAGTGGCAGTTTTTGTATGCCCATGTCATACCAGTTCACCTC